GTGACTTTCGTCATATATAAACGCAAGAGAGCGAGGGAAGAAGAAGGGCTCGACGGACGTACTTCATCAGGCACGATGCGAGGGAAAGAGAAACAAAGAGATCGAGAAGGAGGACAGAGGGAAGAGAGTCTAGGGCGAGCGAGAGATAGAAGGGAATGGGAAAAGTCTGCACGCGATATACAAGTGAAGCGCGAAAACGCAGGGAGGACTGAAGGGGAGTCAAGGAGAGAAAGACAAAGAAAGCCGAGCGAGTTGAGGAAGCTGGAGGGAGAAGAGGAAGAAGGCTAAGTCTCCTTCCCGACGTGAGTGCGACGAAGACAAGACGACGTCGGACGTGTCCGTCCACGCGCACTCTCCGCAGGGGGAGAATGCGCGATGTCGGAAGACGGTGGGCAGGGAAGAGAAGAGACGACCGAAGAGGAAGAGGAGGGTACCCGCCGGGATGGAGGGGACGGGAAGGAAAGGGGGGTCAGACGGGGTGAATTGCCGGCGACAAGGTCACCGTCTATACCTCGCTGGTACCGCCGATACGCGCCTTCGGCGTTGTACACTAGCTGCGTTTCTCCCTCTTTCTTCTGCTCCTGCCATCCCCTCCAGTGTATGCACGTGTGTGCATATATGTATATATATATATGTACGTATGCAGCCGCGACGTGCGTGCAGACACGCGGAGAGAACCCATGCGCGAGCTAGTATAATAGGAATAAAGAAAGTGACGCTCATCATACGTAGGCGACGAGCGCACGTTGGTCAGAGGAATTTCGAGGGTCGGGATACGAGAGTGGACGATGCAATCGAGGAAGAGGAGAGCCTCGTCTTCGATGTATCTAGACACGCCGATCGCGCTTATTTGGAAAATGTGTCACGTTCTCATTTCTCCCACAATTGTTTGCTTCTATCGCACCGATTCAGTTTTTACTTTTTATTTATTGATTTGACGAGTGCGAAAACCCTTTAGTACTTTCAAAACAAATATAGCAATAAAATCAGAAAGATACAAACAAAAAAACAATATTATATATGTCCATAGTAAGATGACCCATGTGCGAATGTCGGGCTTCTGCCAGAGTTGTCAACAAGGCCCAGAAGTGGCACAATATTGGCTGCCAAGACTTGATAGGTGGTACTGCCCCAGTACGGATAAACCACCAGATCAATACTGTACCAGTCTCGGTAATTGGTATTGTACCAATACTCCCATGTCAATCATATTCTGTTCCGAGCCGAGTCTCGTCTATGTTGGATAAAATCGTATATATTGGATCAGCACTGGGGATACATTGAGCCATACGTTGGTGTATGACAAGTATTTTTATTTTGAAACATTAATTTATAATGATTTTAAACATATCGGTTATTCTAATGTTAGATTTGGCCCAATACTGATAATAAATGTTGTCCCAGTACCAGATCAATACTGTACCAGTCTCGGTAATTGGTATTGTACCAATACTCCCATGTCAATCATATTCTGTTCCGAGCCGAGTCTCGTCTATGTTGGATAAAATCGTATGTATTGGATCAGCACTGGGGATACATTGGGCCATACGTTGGTGTATGACAACAAGTATTTTTATTTTGAAACATTAATTTTCAATGATTTTAAACATATCGGTTATTCTAATGTTAGATTTGGCCTAATACAGACTAATAAATATGGCCCAATACTGATAACGAATGTTGTCCCAGTACTAATACTTTGTGTCGGGCCAAAGTTGGCATCAAGAGTTGGCCCAACATTGGCAATCAACGTTGCCTTTGTACTAATATTCTGTGTCGGGCCAAAGTTAGCGCCGAGACTGGGACCCGTGTTATCATTCCGACATTGTCCCAGTAATAACCCCGATCTCAACTTACCTGTATACTGGCCCAGAACGTCAGCCAGTACTGGCGACTCTGGCACCAGTATTGAGCCAGTACTGAGCCTTTTTGAGATTCGCACATCGAACGTATTTTATATCTTATTGTGGTAGATATTAATCAGACTTATAAAATTATTGTCCCACGATTGCCATGATTTTCAGGGTAAATCCTAAGAGAAAATTCTCTCGGTGCATAAATTATTATATAAAAATGTAAATATATAAATAAATTAGAAGATAGAAATCTCTCTGTTTTCGCATTTGATCAGCGCAGGAATTAAGAGGAAATTGTTTCGCAATAAAATAAAAAAAGAATCCGATTTTGTATTCAAATAACCACTTGCGTACTCGCATCTCATGATCGTAAAATAACACATCGGTCGTTCTCTTTAACCGGAGATCCGATTCGCGGCGATTGCGACACTACATCTGTGTTTTCATGACCGCTGTTCCGTTCGGAGTTTAACATCTTGGCGTTCGATTCTGTTTATTTGGCATCGATTTCGGAGAACGATGCCGGCGCGCGAAGAAAGGACCGGTCGATATTGAAAGTCGAAAGCGCGAAGGAAGAAAATTATTTTCGTCCTCGCCTACCGAAAGTCGCGTTTAAATGCCCCTATAGCTATCTATTTTCGGCGGCAGGAAATCGCGAAACAGAGAGACATATATACGTAGATAGTGTCGACGTATCAAAGTATCGAAATTTTCTTATCAGCCTCGGCGATAAGAAGTTCTCGGCGGTAAACGCAAAGAGAAGAGTCGACGATCTCGGCTGAAGAAATTTTGTCATAAGTAGATATTTTCCGATAATGTTGTCATCGACAGTTTCGTCATAAAATCTTTTCGATAAAATATTGATTTTTGACAGCCACCGAAAATAATGGTCCAAAGATTAATTCAAAAGAAAGAGAGAGAGAGACATGTTTGTATAAATATACATATTCACAGACATTAATTAACGGAACGAGAATAAAATGTGATACGCCGTAAATTCTCGACAATATTAATGAAGTTTCAATGGCTCTTACTCAAATAAAGAATCATGAATATTGAATAATCTTATCATTTATCTCGGGTAATTATCACCATTGATTCTTATACACTTGCGACGTTAAATTTGGATTATAAAAAAATTGTGAAAAAAATAGCTATATTTAGATTTTCGCGGAAAGTGCATTGTTGCGCAGAGCCTCGGCGATGAAATAAACGGCGAAAGTGAAATCTCGTCTTGTTTTTCGCGAGTTACTATGACATTTGGAAATAGCGCGGCCTTGTCTGGTCCTTGCACCCAGAAGATTCTTCGATTATTGTCGGCGCGTGGGCACCGACTCTCTCTCTCTCCCTCTTTCTGTCGGTAAATTTCGAAAATATTTCGCGAGAACCAAACCGGAAAGATTGAAAGGCGTTTCGATAGCGAGAGAGATGCGCGCTCCGAATAGTCGTCGTCATCGGCGAACGGGATGGGAAAACCTTGAGGAGTCGTTTACTCGAACTCGACTTTACGACGACTTTACACCCCGCCGCTTCTTCTCGCTCTTCTCTCTTTCTCTCGCTTCCTTCCTCGACGACGACGACGACCATTCCTCTTTTCATTCGCCGATTATCTCTATCGCCGTTGAACTGAATCCATTGAACGTCGCGCGTATCTGTCCCGAGAATAATTCCGTGGCTCTTCTTCTTATTTGACGACACGATTCATATACACATCCGGAGTTTACGCATATTTCATATATGATATATACTTCAATAGCTCGCCGATGCAATTCTTCCGAGAATTCAGCAATTACTGAACTGCACATTTCGCGCTAAATAACATTAAAAAAATAAAATAAAATAAACGTTCGATTAAAATTACTCGTTCAAATCATTCTCGCCGTTCAATTAAATTATCGATTTTTAATTTTCAAAAATTTTAATTGCGTATCTCCCGCGTGCTTCGAATACGTCCAAAAGCGGATGCGATGAGGAAATCATGCATCGAGCAAAATGCACAAATTTAAATAGTTTTCCTCCTCTCTATCACCTCTTTCCGGAAGAGAGATTTTAAATGCTAAAATATATAGGATATTGATCGAATTATATTTCACGATGAATAATCCGTTCGATTTAAATCGCATTGAAGGATGATCGATTCTCAACTTTCAAGATTAAATCATATATACATATATATATGTGTATGTATGCATATTACATATGTTTTGTGAGTGTCAAGCGAGAACGATGAATCATGCAAATTTAAACGGAATTTTTTCTCTTCGAGATGCGTTTCCAGAGGAAGAAGAGAGGGTCCTAGAGTTAAGCAGGCGGTCGAGTGCGGTTGAGAACCGTCTGGCGCAACAGTGCTATGCATTTTTGCCGGCGGCAACGGCGGCGGCGGCACCGCGTATGCATACACACACGCGTGTAACACGCGCACTCGCGCGCATACACGCGCACTCGCGCACACACGCGCACTCGCGCACTCGCGCGCGCGGGCCGCACAAGTGTACACACGCGGAGGAGCACACGCTCCGATAATATGTACACTGCAAATATACAATACTACACAATACACACACGTCGGCCCCCGGTAGGGGCAGAGACCCAGGAAGGACGCGCGCTCCTCTCTCTGTCAGCCAGCGCCTGGCAGCGGCCTATGCGCTTCTATCCAAAGTGTGTTCTCCTATACCCTTTCCTTCTTCTCTCTCAGTGTTTTTTAGGAAAATTTGGTTTCTTGTTTAAAACGATCCCCATGGAAATTTTTGTGTTAAATATTCAACATAGGTATTCATTCATGTGTTAATTTAACGTATTCATGTGTTAAATTAACGTATATTGCTGTTATGTAACTGAACTTTTAAAACTGATGAAAAAATAATACAATGTGTATCTATTTTTTATTTTACATATGTTTTGTTTTATTATTATTGGTGACAAGATTTATCTGTCAAAATTTATAGAAAAAAATAATTGATTTTTTTATTTTATAAGTGGGGATAATAAAATCGAAAATTTATTTTGTATTAAAACACAGTATTCTGTCTCCCCATTTAACATGTCCATATTATGATAAATTAGCACAAAACTTTCTGTAGATCGTTTGCAACGTGTGATATCTGTTAGATTTAATATAAATTTTTCAACTTTATTTGTCTACAGGGTTACGCCGAAAGATGGAATGCACGATAATTCACTTCACTCTTTCAAGTTTTCTATCCTCCTTCCTGGCACCTATTCAAATCCCCCACCTGATCGGTGAGTTGCATTCTTTATTTACGGTGGCTATAAAATACAATCTCGATTTACGTCTCGGTTAATAATTGTTTCACGGACAAATATGTCGTGATTAAAATTTTCCTCCTCACGCTACAAGGCCATCTTTTACATATTCATATTAATAATTTTTAAATATTGATAAGAAAGAAGGAAAAAGTTACGTTAATAAATACATATTAATTACAATTTTATATTACAATAAATATTTGAAGAATTATTAATGTAATATTTGAATTCGGATAAAGATTTTTCAAGTATTATTAAGCGACGATAATTTAATTAAAAATCTTTATCACGTACAATAAGACTCGCAAAATATGACACGCGAGAAATGCAATCTCAAATTATTTCATGATGATCTCTTCTTTTGACTTCCTTCAATTTTGGAGTATAAACTTAAAAAACTATTGTCAAGCGAGATATCAAAGATTTAACCGAGAAGAGTATCGATCAATCGACACGATATAAAAATTACCATAAATATCCGCGCAAGTTTTACTTTTACACGACAATAATTTATAAGAATAATTCTTTGCAAATTGTATTTGTGCCTCGCAATTTACAGATGCGAATTCGCGTCGAACTATCTAATTCCTCGTCACCCTCCTCGTGGTAACAATTGCAAATTTCACACGAAAGGTTTAACTTCCTCGTGAATATTCAACAGACGCTGGGTGCTATTTAAAGGAACTTTGCACTTATTATTAGATTGCGCGATATCAGCGCGAAGCTGATCATCCTCGTGCATAACTTTGCCGAGGAGAATTTTCGACCCAATCGTCAGATTTAAATTTTTTTCGAAAAAAGAAAAAAACTACAAACTGTCAAAATATTATAAAAAATAATTAATGCGATAACGGGAAATACAATTTGTTTAATTATCGCTTACGTTTCGCAAACAATAATTATGATGCGGTAAATTGGAAGAGAACCTAAAAACATCCTTAAAAATGTCTTCACATTTCAACACCTAATTAAATGCAGACAATGCAAATGAAGAACAAAGAGCGCGAATTATCGAATGTAACGTTCCTGCAAAATTCCTTTAATCGAGGGAAAGAAAAAAAAATGTACAAACGAGAGTTTGCATGCGCGAATCGCCGATTGCGTTCACGACGACCCGTTATTTTCTGCCTCGCGTGCAATTTGCGAAACATGTGCCGTGGCCTACAATAAAAAATCCGATACCGCTCCGTACTTCCGGAATACGTCTGCGGATGCCGTTAATCAGCAAGTCACGTGTTGACGTGAACGCACCAGCCGACTTTCGATTTTCATGCTAAAAAAACGGCGAGTCCGCGATTTTCGAGGCAATTTCTACGACGACCAACCAGCGATTTTTTTCGCACATGTTACAGAAATAAAGGTAAGAAATCACATGCCTATATATAACCAGCGCGATTATAACTTTGAAGTTGCACTGTAAAAAAAATATGTCAAATTACACCTTATTATTTATGTAATTTTTCATATTTTCATGTAATATTTTTACAGTGTACTTATTTCACTGAGAGATGAACCCAGTTACACTGTAAAAAAATATGTAATATATTACACAAAAATATGTAAAATTACATAAATAATAAGTGTAAAATTACACGATAAATAATAGAAATGTTTACCTTTTCATTATTTATCATATAATTTTACATTTATTATTTATGTAATTTTACATATTTTTAATGTAATTTTACATATCTTTTTTACAGTGTAAGCTCGACGCGAAATCAAAGGCTGAAATTCGATTCCGCGTATTATCGATTATTCCGATAATTGTCGATCGAGTTACGTCGTCCGCCCCCACGAGAAATTTAATAATTGACTGAGAAGGCGACTGAGAATTCACCTTCCTCCTCCGACGAAACGGAATTCATCAACCGACACGGTTCTATTGTCTCGCGTCTCGCTCGAGCGGATCGGCGCTATTTCGCGCGAGCATTCCCGAGAGAGAAAAGCTCGGATTGTTGTCCCCGGTCAGGAAGTGGACCGTCGAGCTGCGCCCCTTCTCCTGGGCTCGACCTAGACCTACACCTAGACCTAGAGACTCCGTCGTTTCTCTCGCGCTTTTCCTCTCTTTGCGGTGAAACGCGCGCATCTGTTTCTGGGAAACGGACTCGCACTTTCACATCCGAGTCGGACGGATACAAATTACGCGCGTGCGATTATTTTTATTTCGAAAATTTAACTATACACCGAAGACAAAAATTATTCAATTTATTCATACTTATTTCAATGCAGCCTAATCAATTATTTGTTTGAAACAAATATTTTTCACATCAAAAATCAATATTATTATAATAAAAAAAAATATATATATATAAATTATATATAAAATAATAATATATATTAATATACTTATATATATATATATATATTATATATTAATTATATAATTTATTTTTTGATATATTTATTTGAAACTATAGTTTCAAATAAATAACTTGTTTGGCAGTAATGAAATAAATAAAAAAAATCATAAACACAAAAATCTTTTTTTTAATAATTAAAATTTAAGCAAAGATGACCGGAATCAACTGCATTTTATTATTCCGCGTTTGCGCACCGGATTTCATGGACGCTTTCACGACAAAGGAAGCTGGCTATCGTACCCATCAGGAAGTAGACTATCGTACAAAGCGCAACACACCAGGCCGCGCCCATTTGACCTAGACCTAGACACCGAGTCTCTTCGTCATCAGAATCCCTTTATTTCTGCTCGTCTCGCTATATTGCATAAGGTTGTGTGCACCTGAGCCTTTACGAAATTTCAAAATGAAGAAAAAATTCGCCCGAATCAGGAAGGCTTCGAAATTCACTTTTGTCGATCAAAAAATCAAGAATAAAAATCTTTCTAACGATAAGCATTTCTATATATATTCCATTTTTTTTATTATATGACATGTAATGGGAAGAAACGCGGTGAAAATTGAATATGATATGATATATATTCCATTTTTTATTATGACATGTAATGGAAAGAAACGCGGTGAAAATTGAATATGATATGATAACAATTTATTTTCTCTCCCTCTCTCTGAGGAAATTCCGACGAGACGATAAACGAGCGCGTATATGGTATATCGCACAAAAGTAAGAATGGAACGAGAAACTTTTGTTGAAAACGAAAAAACCGTCGGTACATATTGACTAAGAGCACTTTGAACTCTCGCTTCAGACTCACTTTCGTCGTGGAAAGACGCTTGTTCCCAGATAGCGGAATCGTAAAAAAAAAAAAAAAAAAAGATCAATCATACGTGGCAGTGGCGATGGCCTTTCTCGGAGATTATCTTGCTTATCATCGATTGCTCGTACCAAACAAGATTTCAATCGTGAAGGTAAACCGAGGAGCAGAAAAATATACTCGCGATACGCTAAGCGTATTTTACGCTGACTGATAATAAATAACCGAACAGCTGTGTAAGTGGCTTGATTTGCATTGAGCAATTGTGAAAAGATATTGTTTCCGTCCAACTGATATAATTATACGAGAAAAATGCAACACGCGTGCACTTCAACTTTAATTTAAATCGAATATTTGTCTCTACGATTTGATTGGCAAAATAATCAATTTACAAATATCTTAATCGGTATAAGATTACATATCGAAAATCGCATCACGTGAGTCTAGATATATATATATGATATACATAATCAGATATATAATACATTCTCCCGAATATAAACATCGTAATACGGAAGATAATTTCACTCAGATTACGTAAAACTTGTTATTAAATCACCGTCCGATAAACATTCACGTAAATAGAGAGAGAGAGAAAGAAAGAGAGAGATAGGTTTGTATTTGCTGCGTAAATATTATCACAAATTTTTCGTGCTGATAATTATTTCATGGACATCAATTATAATTAAAAATATCTATCGGCAATCGTAAGTATATTATAAATAGATAACTTTCTATCGATATATAAATCTTTAAAAGTGATTGATCATTTTTCGTAACGAGAAAATAAAACAAATGCATCTGCACAAGCAAGTATTTTAATTTATATTTCTTTTCAATGGCTAGAAACAGTCTCGACGCATTTTTTTCAAGGCGAAAGGATTAAAATTTTTTTTCTTATTTTTTCTTAATTTAAAAAAAATTTTTATATTAAATTTTTTTCTAATATATTTTTTTATATTAAATTTTTTTACATTAAATATGCAAAAATAATTTTTTAATGATTCCAAGGGGGTTCTCATCATCTAGCTTTATTTCATCCTTCGTGGTTTTTCTGAACGCGGAAATTTTTCTGAGATTTCTACCCAGCTATGTCGGCTCTTTCGCAAGCATAACTGTGTGTTATTCGGCGTCGAGTTCTATTTTTTCCGCCGAGATTTCCCGCGGTAAAAGTCACTTCCCCAACATTTCTTAACCCTCCTGTTCCCCTTCGCGAATTACGTCGCTACGTCTTTTAAAAATATCTCAGAATACTTGATCTAGGGCAACCAGGACATTTTCGATCCCCCAAAAGACGCGATTTTCGCAGAAAATGTGAAAGAAAAGCAAAAAAAATCACATCGTCGCTTTTCACATTGTTTTTTTGTAGCATGGAATATTTTAGCGTTATTATAATGTAAGCGAACGTAATCGCGAAACGAATTGCAGATGATAAAATTATTGGAATGATAGCGAGTGACAGCGTAATGCGATATGCTAAAATTGGATCTTGCATAAGTCTTATTTTTGTAAAACTTTCGAGAGTGTAATTTACTTTAGGGAAGGCAATTATCTTTTTAAGAATTTAATTCCTTTCTCTTTACGATGACAAAATCGAATCGCGTGTGTATTTTATTTTGGAAACTTTCCGGAAAAAAATTGCACTTTTTTAAAACACAATCGTGAATTTTTATACTACAATAAGTTGCCAAACGTACGATGATTTCCTCAAACATTTTGCGTATTTAGATCATTTGTTGTTGTTTTCGAAAAAGACGAAAATACTTTGATGACATCTACTTCTTGATAATCAAAATGC